AACACTCTTATAATTTTTTTGATGGTTCACACTTGTTTCTTAATGGATTGTGCCACACCTTTAGCTTACTTAGTTTAATTTCCATGTCTTTAGTGTAGATGTAGTGTAGTTACTTTATATTCATAGATAGGTGGACAATCTATGAATGTTCCTTGGTGTTCCATACTTATGAATGCAAAGGGTGTATGTTTCTAGATAGTTGTGTGTGCATAAATTGTGGTTTCATTGAATGGATTTTGATCTCATTTGATAGGTTGTGCTTTCCATTTGAATTGGCTAGACAATCTATACTTATATGTCATCCATGCTTAGTTTCAATTAATGTTACACACACACACAAGTTACAAATCAATTTTCCCATTGAAATACAATTGTTAGTGTCTAGTGAAGTTAAGTTTAGTGGTGAGCTTTAGTACCCCAAGTCCTCTCATTTATATCTTTTTCCCTACTTTATAAATTGTTACCTTTTACTTACTTTAATTTCAATTATATTGTAGTTTAATCAACCAAACAAGCCATCTTTTGATCACTCGACCTACTAACCCTATATATTGTTTCCATTACAAACACGCCCACAATCCCTTGGGACGATCCCTACTCAACCTAGCTATATTTTTAGTTAGAGGTAGTAGTGGCTTTTATAAATTTAAAACTTGGCCACATTGCACATTCACATTCTTAGCACATTAATAGGCATTGGTCCGGCGACACACGAATCGTCCTAAGGGATTGGGTAAGTGCTTGAAATGGAAACAAGGTTGAATTAGTAGGTCAAGTGATCAAAAGGTGTTTTGTTTGGTTAATTAAACTATAATGTAAATAAATTCAATACAAAGTAACTAAAATAAAATAAAGGGTAGAGAACAAAAGAAAGAGGTCTTGGGATCTAGAGGTCACCACTAAACATCACCATTCTAGACACTTAATGTGTAATGAATGAGGGGAAATATATGTTGCGATACAAAGAGATGTGATTGATTGAATTAACAAGTATGGATTAACTAATTAAGTATACATTGTCTAGACAATATAGTGAATACCACAATATATCAAAGTAAGCCATTAATCCTTCATTTAAGCTCACAATCAACACACTAACAAGATAGAAAATTGTACTACTTGCATTCATAAGTATGGAACATCAAATAACAAGCATGGATTGTCCTCATATCTAGGAAAATAAGGCAACTACACTACATCTAAGCTAATGACATGAAAATTATACTAATTAAACTAAGGTAGAGGCACAATCCATCAATAAATGAGTATGAACCATCAAATAAGTCACAAGAGTATTCTATTTAAGCACTATGCCTTGACAATCTCTAGATTCATAGTATCAATACACATAGACATGCATCAATATCACAAAAGCAAGAGATAAACACATAAATATCTATTCTAGCATACATAGACATATAGATATAATGAAATGATCAATTGGAAGTAATAATCAACACAAATCATTGTAAAACCAAAATTCATATATAAATCAAATATCAAGACAAGATTACAACATAAATCCCCTCAAAATACAAAACATCAAGGTCTAGAAGGTATGCTTAAGGCTAACTCTAGCCCCAAGAAGATGTTTAGCCACTCATTGATGTAGTCATCCAACCCTCAAGGGCCATCTCCATGGTAGGAATGATCTTCTTCTTGATGGAAATCCTAGAAGAATGGAAGAACTCCCAAATAGTGTACATCTCTCTAAGCTGTAGTTTCCTCTCCAAGATATGTGATATGAGATATGTGAGTTATGTTGAGATATATTGAGATATAAAAATGGCTCAAAATCCTTATATAGGTAGCTCAAGTGTTATACCAAATGGTCAGGTCTCGTGCTCTAGGGTCTCTTCCAATGATTACACCACAAGCCATCTTTTAATGAGCTAGACTCTATTTTATTTCAGACTTGAGGAGGTTTGATCGATCGAATTCAAAAGAGATTGATCGAACTGTGGCTAGATCCATCGAAGTAAAGCCAGATCGATCAATCCTTGGCGATGCCTTTTTGGAATTAGACAAATCAGAGATATTTTTGGGATATTTTGGGAAAAATACAAAAGTGGTAGGTGAGAATAAGATCAAGGAAGTTCGATCGATCTGAAGGAAGTTCGATCGATCGAAGATGGAAATTCTTTGAGGATAGGACAAGGGGTTTGATCTATCTTGATGAGGTTGGATCGATAAATGTGAGATCGATCGAAAATATTCCTGATCGATCGAAGTTTATTGATTTCTACCACTTTGCTTCCACTTTGCTCCATTCTTCCATTTAGCTTGAGATTGCTTCTTTTATGCTCTAATTTGGTTGAATTGACTTATTTTGGGAATAAGCACCTGAAAAGGGCAACAATATGAAATTAGTCTAAAACGGGAAAGTAAGACAGGTAAAGGTTCTAGAATACTCAAGCCTAAGGGGTTTAAATGCGCACTTTTCAGCGCTCATCAGGAATCAATGGTCTCGGAACCATAAAATAATTTCTCCTTAATTTAGTAGTTGGCATAAGGTGAAAGCATCAATATTTGGATAATCTCCAACCAAATCTCTCTCCTGAACTTTTCTAGAGGGTGAAAACAACGTGATTTGGATTCAGTTTTAGCTAAGTCAGTATCTTGTAAAAGTTTACAACTTACAAATTTAGTTGTAATAGAATTTTTAACATGAACTTTTTTACCATGAACTTTGACTGGATGATGACATAGTGAAATCTAATGTTAGTAATATTTAATTGACTATAATAAAATGATATTATTAACTTAAAAGTTAATATAAATTGTTAATTGATATAATATCATCTTAATTTAATTACTAATTATCTTAAAATTTCTAAATGAATTATTTATTATATACATTATTGAATTACAATTAAATTAAATAATTAATTGACAAGTTGTTATTAATTATAAAAACTTTATAAATTCTTGATTAAGTTCTTTATAATTATTTATTAAATATACATAATTCAATTTTTATCCATAATTGATGATTCAAAATTTTGAGGTTAGCAAAGTTTAAGAAAGAAATTTGGTTGGAAAGGATTCTTGTCCGAAGACGCGGTGCACAGGGCTGAGTTAAAATCCAAATGCCTAAGAATTTAGGGAAAACTACACTTTCATATAGTTAGGAGTCTTAAAAAAAAATAGTCTATTTTAAAATTTCATTTTTCACTTTAGTTGGAATAAGTAAAATATTTATATAAACATCAATAATTATTGTTCAAGTCCAAAATACCCTCCAAACTCTTATTCCAAAATACTAAGAGTCTGTTTGGAGTTGCTGTTGGAATAGAAAAAGCGCTTTTATCAATAGAGCTGTCAAAAAATTGAGGGTAACTATTTAAAGTGCTTATAATGGTTACCAAACACATATAAACGCAATTTTTCAAAATAAAAGTGCTTTTAAGTAATAGAGAAGCAATCGCAAATGGGTTCTAAATTATTTCCTTAAATCAGGTACTTTTTTTATATAATTTCTTTACTTAAAAATTTAGGAAAATATTAATTTTGAATCATACTGCTGCAACTTTATATATGGAGAATTTATATAAACAATAAAAAAATTTAATGTGGTAAAAAATCTAGCAATTAAAGAGTAGTCCCCAAAAAGAAAACTATAATTAAACTCTTTATGCCAAGAAATTATGCATGCCTTGAGATGATCATCATTTTGCTTAATTTACAGTTTTTTATAAATAAAAAAATAGTTATTGGTGTAACATTTACTGAAGCTATCATTTAGTTTCATGATCTCCCACTTACCAGGAAAAAAATTCTCTATATATAATAAATTTCAGCTAAATTATTTGTATATTTTTAAAATGACATTTTCAGGTTTGAACCAATATAGATTAAGAGATATAAGATATTGGAATAAGTGCACAATTTTTTTTTTCTATATAAATATTTATATGTTGTTTTTTATTTTATTTATTTTTGGTAATATATACCTCACATGAAAAAATACCCTCCAAGTTGAAAGTCAACTCACAAAACTTGTTTTTCTAAATTTTTTAAATGAAAGAAATATTGATTAGGAATGATATTTTAGTATTTTGAAATAAGAATTTGGAAGATATTTTGGACCTAAATAATAATTTTCAATGCATATGTAATTATTTTGTTTAACTCAACTAAATTGAAAGGTCAACATGATTTGTTATTTAGGACTCCTAAGTTTTAAGTGTTGTTTTTTCAATAATTTAAAGATCATTAGATGCCTTGAATTGACCTTTAGGTGTTTGATTTTGGTTCACCCATCAATTTTAAAATTTATTGTTCATAAAAATAAAAAAATAGGAGGGGTATTTAGGATCTCTAATTTAGTTAAATATGAAAATTCAAAGTTCAATCTAAGTTACACAGAGTGGGAGCGAGTGCGAGAGCGTCAAATCTAAAAATTTTGAAAACGAAACGTCTTGAGAGCGTCTACATATTAGGATAAAATTATAGCATGACCTATATATTTTATATTTTTTTATTTATTTAAATTCATACGCAACTATATTCATTATTATTTATTCCATTAATGATATATGTAATAAATAAGTTAACTTTTCTTGCTAATAGATGCGTGATTTATTTGTAATACTTTTAAATTAGAAAGTTTTTTAATAGTATATTTTTAAACATATATATGTGTGTGTGTGTGTGTGTGGTAGTATAGTAATGTCATATAGCTGGGGTGCGAGTGAAATTTAAGTAAATAATGTATATATTAAGTAATAGTATAAGTAATAAATGCATATATGGTAATACAGGTGTTCCATATTACTGGGACTTTAACAAATTTAACCGTTAGCTGTGTAAAGTAAATTCCTACAAAAATCGTGAATTAGGAAAACAAATTTGCGAATTGCAAAAATTGAATTTGCGTGTGACTTAGAGTTCACTGCACGAAAATGCCAAAGTTTGGAAAATTTTGTTACAGTTAAGTGAAAAACATCTTTCTTTTATTAAAAATTAGAATTAATTGTTATTTTGGTAAGGTGATGAAATGCCCCCACGCAGGATCGAACCACGGACCTTCAGTTTACAAGACTGACGCTATACAACTCAGCTATAGGGGCCCAATTCATGTCATTGTTAATCTGAAAATATTATTTTTTTATATTATTACTACTTTTTGGGGCGAAATTCATAAAATAAAATAAAATAAATTGTTGATCGCTCGCTTGTAAGTTGTAACCATTAGAAGTGTGCGCTAAAAGTGTACTCGCATATGTAGTACTCACGGACAATATAGTCAGATTTGAGTTCTTAAGCGAAAAATATAAAAATAATATTTTAATATTTAATATATTAAAAATGGTATTTTATTGGTCTCATTGTTGATGTGGATAAAAATAAAATCAATATATCTTGTTTAATTACCAAATCAGTAATACATGTGCCTATCATATTTGATTTGGTAATTGAAGATATACCCATTATATTTGATTTGATAATTAAAGATGATATATCTATTTTTTTATTGATCCACATCCGTAGTTAGGAGCTGTACATCCTCACCAGTCATGACCTAAGTATTGTCCATATAAAGCCATTTGTAGCAGGCTGGCGGAAGCCGGTTTTGGCTAGCATAATGGGCCAAATGCGCCCCAGCGGACTCGCGGAACTAGGCGGGGACTACAGCGGCTCACGGGTTGGCTCACGGAATACCACGAGGTCGAGCCCGATCATGGTATTTTTTTTCTTTTTTTCTTTTTTTTTTTGAAACGTTCTGTAATAGTGTCTAACAGTAGTGCAGAATGGTTTTTTTTTTGGGGGAAAAAAGCCAAAAATAGGCTATTTTGAGTTCATTTCTTTTAAAAAATAAATAAATAAAATTCATTAAATATAAAATATATTGTTTAGGCACTGTTTGTCCAAAATATATATATATATATATATTTGGGTCAAAAATAAATTTGAAAACATTTTTTTTTTATTTAAATTTTAAATTGCTGCCATAAACAATGCATTTGGTTGTTAATGCACTGTTTGACTGACATAAACAGTGCTTTAATGGCTATAATTTAAAAATAAAATAAAAAAGTTTAAAAAATTCTATTTTGTAAATTTTTTTTAAAAAAAACAATTAAAATTAAAATTTCATTTTCTTATTCCCATAGGATTTTGTAATCTTTATTTTCTTATTCCAATTCATTATTTTTAATCTTAAAATTGAATTTTATTATTATTATTTTTTTTGAAGAGCGAGAATTCAGAGAACCTGATGGAGTTCTTTCTGGAGAGCAACGTGATTTTCGAAATTGCTGACGTGGTTCTTGAAAAAGCTGAAGTGACATTTTTGGAGAGCCAAAATCCATAGAGGCTGATAAAAATTAAAATTATTAACCTGATTTCTATTGCATTTCTTTTCTAATATTGAGAGGGTTTTATATGTAAGTGCTCTTGGGTATGCACACATATAGATGGGCAATTTAGTAATTTATCATAATAATGTAAGGATATTTTTGTAAATTAGATATATCCGTTAGTGCATTTAACTGGGTAGTTTCATATTTTAGGAAGATTTAAATAATTTTCCAAATCATAGAGTAAGTCTATGTAATTATAGCAAATCATAGGAAAAATTCGTATAATTTATCCAAAAAAATAAAAAATAAAAAATAATAAAAAGAAAGAATTTTGGAGTGGACCCTCGTACCACCACAAAGTGGACCCCTCATTGCCCAAAGCAATTGGCATTGCAAAAGCAAATTTTGCTTCGCCATCTCTTTTAACTTGAGTTGTTTTCGTCGTCCTCTTTTTTTTTTGTTTTTTTTGTTTTTTTTTTTAAAAAAGAAAAAAAAAGAAAAAGAAAAGAAAAGTAGAAAAAATTACACTACTTCTGAACTCATGTAGTGGTTGTAAATGTGTGCATATGATATAACACACTGGTGAAGTCATTTTACCTGCTTTCAGCGTTTGTTTTAGAGGTTAAAACGTCAATAAATGGTGAAAATACAAGGCTATGTCTGCTTTTTATTTCCTTGACCCTTAACCAAGAAATAAAAATAAAAGGGAGAGGGAAATTATCCAAATGTGCATGTAAGATCCCCAAATTAGAGTTATATGTACAAAAATCTTAATGTTATGTTTGGGAGTATCGAATCATGCTTTGAACTTGGTATGAGAGGAAGTTTGATTCAAATTTTGTTTTAAATTTTGTCAAATCTCAGGTACGATTTGTTGCCACCAAACATAGCATGAGTTTAGCATAACCATATGCTAGCAGACATTCCGTGCCAAAAAGGGATGTTGAAAGTCATCACTAAGACCGGGTTATCTCTCTACTAAAGACTAAATTGAAAGGTAACTGTAGGTGCAAAATTCCACTCAACCAATAATGATTGAGAAAAATCAAACAACTCACTCAAAAACAATAAGAATAAATAAGAACAGTGTCTAGAGAAGCGTAGAATTGCTTGATCCCTTTATTGGAGGTCTAAGCCTCTATTTATATACAAAAGATTGTAAAATTATGGTAGGACTTGCGTTGCTTGCCCTCCAATTCTTTCTATATAAACATTCTTTACTAATAGAGTTCTTTCCATTGTCTAATTTTCTATACATAGAACTTGCCTTGTACAAAACTTCCTATCTCAGAATTTTCCTTCTACGGTAAATCCTTCAACTGGGAGGACTTGTGCATTCTTGAATAACTGGGCTGAACATATTTTGATCCGGCTGGGCTTGAGTAACGGACCGGATGTTAAATATTAACAAGTTGGGCTGATGACCTCTTGATTCAGCCTTAATGGAGGTTGGAGGACAAATAACAATGGTCTTGGGCTATAAATACCCTAAATTTGGGCTTGAGCATGGGTATATGTCCTTGGAATGTAGATATGTGTAGTGATGACGTGTGCACTTTTTATTGGAGGGAGTTCTTTTTCCCTCCACACTTTGCCCCAAATTTCATTTTTAAATGAGTGACGGCTCCTATTAAAGAGGGAATTAAAACCGGTTTTTTACTTTGTTTCAGAAACGGTTCGAGGTCTTTCGTTATTACTCCGTCATACAAGATTTTGCAAGAGTTACATTCGCCCTTGTTGCACTTCTGCGTTCTTCATTCCATCGCTTTGTCAGGTTAGTTTTTTTTTTCGCATCTTTCTCTTCAATCTTTCATTATGAGTACTTCATCTACTCCCGAACGTATAGACATTGGGGATTCTGAATCCATACCTTCATCTTCCCCCATTCGCATTAGGGCTCCCCCTTCTAGGGTTTCTACAGATCGTCTTTCGTTGAATCAATTAGGTACTTCTCCCCTTCCAGCCGAGACATCCATCTCAGGCTCTGATTATGTTCTTACTCATGAAGAGAGGAAAGCAATCATCTCTATTCGCCGCATCAAGTTCTCTATTGCTTCGGTAGTGGAAGAATTTGATATTCCTGAGGGAGTAGAAATTGCAGAATATCCCGAGGGTGCCAATTTTACCTCCGGCGACGGAATTGAAGAGAGTGTATTGCTTCTTTTGGTAGGGCATCTTAACGCCCTCCGGTTCCCTCTTTATCCCTTCTATCATTTAGTATTCAACAAGTTAGGTCTTACCTCCCTTCAGGTAAATCCTAATTTCTTTCGCATCCTTTCAGCACTGTTGGTGCGCCGGAAATTAGAGGCTCTGGATTTGACCTTTGCCGACCTTCTGCTTACTTACAATATATCTAAGCATGGGACCGAGCCTGGTCGCTTCTTTTTTACCTCTCCCCTTCATCAGAGGATATGCACGAACCTTCCTTCATCCGAAAAGAAGTGGAAAGAAAGGATGGTTATAGTTAAAGGAAAATGGTTCGTGTCCCAATCAATTACACTCCCCATCCGGCGCAAGTTCGGGAAATTAGGTATAGAATACTTAACCTCCCTTCATACCAAGTGTTCTGGCTATTTTCCTTGCCAAGTCTTAATGTTTCGCCATATTTATGAGTTTCTTGGTATTTTTTCAGCTATATTCCCATCCTCCGCAGCAAGGAACAAACTTTCTTTTCTTGAGGAATGAGTCTGGAGTGACCCCTCGCCTATCGAGGACCTGCTAACTTATTCAAACCTCAAGGATATTGCCTCCAGTGCTGTTGCTGCAGACCTCATGGATCTGTCTCTACCATCCTTTGACAGTTTCCCCATGACTGAGGAGGAGATACGGAGGGCTGAGGCTTTAAAAAAGAAAGCCGAAGATGCCCAACCCTTGGTCGTTATTAGATCTACTGAGGGTGAGGTGGAGGCTGAGGAACCACCAATGAAGAAATCTCGCCTTAACCCCCCATCCTCTGGCAAGGGCAAGGTCCCTTCTAAAAGCATAGGGAAAAAGGCTGGAGAGGCCGAACCTGAAGATGAAGTCAGGGCATTTGTTCTGGCTGAGACTGGGGCTCCTTGGACTCCTTCCTTCACCAGGGCTGACAAGTCAGTCCTGCATTCAAGGGATTCTGTGATCACAGACCCTTTAGCTGCACTGGCGGTGGCTCGAGGGATGTGGCTCCCAAAGAACGAGGAAGCCATCAGCTAAATGGGGTTGGAACAACTACTCCCCTCTGCCTCGGTCCGGGCCATAGAGGTTCGCATTGCTCCTTCAGAATTATGTTACTCTTGCTTGCTTATGTTTCCATTTATGCTCATATTTGTTCCTCTGTTATACAGAGTCTATACCACACCATGGCCCTCTGCGCCACTGCTGAAGCCCAATCCCTCTCCATCAAGAAGCTGGAAAAGGATCTTGACAATGCAGAAAAGAGAGCCACCACTGCCTCTACCAATCTGAAGATAGCTTCTGAAGCCAAGGATGTGTATAAGAGGCAGTTGGTTGCCTCCGAGGCTAAGGTGGATTCTCTTCAGGCCGAAGTTCAACGCCTGACCGAGGCTCTTACTACTTGCTTCAAGGCGGGGAAGCAAATGCAGGGGCGTTACTCCTGTTTGGCACACCTGGCTAGTGCTAAAGCGTTCCGGTCTGGCTATAATCAGGGCTCAGGCCCTAAGACGATGGATCCGGACGCTTTTGACAAGCAGGTGGGGGTGCACTTCCCATATGATGAAGGGCCAGAGGCTTTGGAAGCTGAAATTCGCTTTGCTAAGATGGTGAATGCGCAC